GTGACCTGACCTCTGGCCTCCAGGAAACAGGCGGCATGCCAGAGAACACGCACTGATGGAGTGCCTACTGCATGCTTTAGGTCACCGACCGCCAGCCAGGCCCTGGGGCCGCAGTCCCCATCTAGCCTGTTTCCCAGAGTCAGGGAGCTGCGTGTTCCCCGCTCTCTGGGCTCTCCCCTTCTTCTCTGTGGCCTCCCGGCCAGGGGTCTGGTGGAAGTGTGACCCCTCTGTCCCATGCCCTTGAATGTGGTATGGAGGTGGGGAGAACGAGGCAGCCCCCGGGTTCTGGGCACTCCCCACTCCCCTCATGGGCAGGGCAGGTGGCTCTCTCTCCGGCCTGCCCTGGCGGCAGCGTCCACAGACCCCACTGGGGTCCAGCAGCGTGAGGCCCTGCCTTGCCCTGCACTGGGCGCCTGTGCACCCAGTCTCCCAAGGCCTTGTCCCACCTCACAGTCAAGCTGCTAACCTGGACGCCTGCCGCTACGGCCCAGCGCTGCTACCCTGAGGGCCCAGCTGCACTGTGCAGGGAAGGTTCCAGGACTGGGGCGGTCTTGGGGGATGGGCAGGGCTCTCTGACCAGCACCTGGGCCAGTGAGGCTCAAGGGAAGGCCCGTCTGCGGCACCCCTGCCTCTGCCTCCACCCTGCCAGGCTGACTCTTGCCTGGGGGTCCATACACTGTCTCCCTGCCTGTGGTGGGTGTCCCTGCCTGCCAGTTACTGCTTCCCACCGGCTTGGGCAACCATCCCCATGGGCCAGGGCCTTTCTCCACTGATGGGTGGTGCTAGGAGCTGGGAGCTGAGGGCCTCCACCCCACCCTCAGGCCGGCAGTGGGACGGGTGCCGTCTGCCCCAAAATAGCTCTGTCCAGCAAGGGGGCTGAGGAAGCGGATGAGACAGTCAGAGGGGACACAGGTCCCAGTGTCAGACAGATGAACAGGTGGGATTCCTGCTCTGCCAGCTATCCCCTGTGTGGCCTAGGGACAGTCACCTGGCCCCTCTGAGCCCCAAGGACTGTTTCCATAAAACAGGTAGACAGAAACCCACTTCCAAGGCTGGCAAGGATCTGGTGGGTGGCATATGTAGAGAGCATTATAGCCTACAACACCCTGCAGGGGTGAGGGCTCATCCAGCCCAGGACAGGCGTGGGGGCCCCCAGCAGGTGCAACAGGTGTGAACTGTGTGACCTCACCGCGTCACAGTCCCTGCCCCCAGCAGGTGCAGCAGGTGTGAACTGTGTGACCGCCCCCAGCAGGTGCAGCAGGTGTGAACTGTGTGACCCTCACCTCGTCACAGTCCCTGCCCCCAGCAGGTGCAGCAGGTATGAACTGTGTGACCTCACCGCGTCACAGTCCCTGCCCCCAGCAGGTGCAGCAGGTGTGAACTGTGTGACCTCACTTCATCACAGTCCCTGTCCCAGTCCCATCCCATCTGCCATTCCTATTCCTCCCTCCCAGGGGGATCTATTGCGGCCGAGGTCTGCAGGCTGGAGTCAGGGTCCTGCCCTCACAGCATCCCGGAGGGACGGGAACATGGTCACTAAAGACCTAGGCAAACAAGCGCCAGAGAGAGGGGGGTCAGGGGCCTCATCAGACTCCAGGTTAGGAGCCTGGAGGACGAGGAGGAGCAGGCTTGGCAAGGGGGCCGGGGGTTGAACTTAGATAGATCTGCAGAGCAGCAGAGGACATGCAGGAAGCCGGCGAGGGCCCCTGGGAGCTTGCACTGCATGCCCAGGCTTTGCAGGCCATCCAAGTGCACGGGTCGGTCAGAAGAGGAAATGAGTTCATGGTTTCAAGGACAGGACCCTGCTATTAAACGGTGGGAAAACGGAAAACTTCTGACCTTGTTTAAAAATACTGACTTGTCAAAAAATAAAACACAAAAGGCTTTATTAGGGTAGGTTTAGGAAATACCTTCTCAGCCCCTCCCTCACAATGTCCGCAGGCGGGTGAAAATCTGTGCAGGCTTTCCAAACAAGGTCAGCAAAGGTTTCAGAAAACAGAGCAGGCTGCTGGCCACGATACGCCTCGCCCCCTGTCAAGCTGAGCCCTCCCAGATAGAGGAACCAAAGCCCCACCTGGCTGCCTGGGGAACAGCATTCCCCAAGGCAGGAGGCCCCCCTGAATGCCTCCTAAGAGCCTGAAACTCCCATCTTCCCCTTGGGGTGGTGGGGGAGCAAGTGACCAGGAAGCAGAGGCCCCACACTGGGGGAAGCCCAGAGGTTTTCCTTCAAAGCCCCCTGAACTGCACGATCTCATTGGGCCCTGACAAGGAACCCTCTGGGGCAGGGGGTGGCTGAGCCATAAGGTGGACACACACTGTGGGGTGCTGCGCAGGCCACACCCACCACACCTCCACAAAGGCACAGACGGGAAGGAAGCGCCCAACCTCCTGGCCCCAGGAATGGTCACTGCCATTCCTGACCAGGGCAGTCCCCCGGCAAGAGCCACCTCCGTGGATATACCCAGGGCCCGGGGCACTCCCCAGAGAAGGTGCAGGCGAGGCCTCTGAGATGCAGTCCCCAGCTGTGGGCAGGGACAGCTGCCCCCCCACTCAGTGAGGGTGAACAAGACCCCAGCAGGCCCCCGATGGGCTGCTTCTCCGACAGCACTGAAGTGGAGGTGCACAGAGAACTGGGCAGAGGGCTGGGATGTGAGGCTTAGGACCGCCCCCACCTGGCAGGTGTCAGGTAAGGCTGTGACTGCTGGAGGTCCTAGAAGTCACCCCCAGCGTAAGGACCACAAGAGGAGGTGCTGGCAATGTCCTCCCAGCAGGGTCAGCTAGAGACACCGGGTCCAGGGGTGCTCTCCACCAGCCCTCTTCAATGAGGGGAGAACAGGCGGATCGGATGGCTTTCTGGGAGCCTGACCCCTGTCAAAAAGCCCAGGTGGCTGTGGGCAGTCTGGCCCCAGATGCTGCTGACTGGACACCTGGAATGGGGCTCTGCTGAGGTCTTCCATGAGCAGAAGGGGTGAGGACCACCTCCTCACCTGTGTCCCACTGCCCTTCAGCTTCTCCTGCCTGCTGCTCCAAGGCAGGGCTCCAGCAAGGGCGTGAGGGTCCTGCGGGGCTGCTCGTTGGGCATGAAGGCTGCCCATTCATATTGCACGCCTGCCCGCCTGGCACTTTCTGGCTTCTGACGCCGGTAGGCGAGATGTCCCTTTTGCCTGAAAGCACACACTCATACCTCCGGGTCACGGGAAGGTGACGGTGCCCTGCTTCTTCCCAGGGCGCGCAGTCGAGCAGCACGGCAGCCGGCTAGCGGGGCGCTGGCTCAGCCTGAGACCTGTCTCCAGAGCTGTGGCCTCCTCTTGCCCTGGTCAAGAGCTCTGGGGCTCACTCCTCACTCCTTCTGCTTCCAGCCCTTTGGCTGAGGCTACTGCGGGGACTCACATGGCCCTTCCCCTTCCTCACAGCCTGTAACTACACACCCACCATGGCTGTTTGGGCCCAGAGAGAGAGACGCGGAGGCCCGAGATGGAGGCTGGAGGCAGTGTCAGGTCCTGCCAGGGTGTGCACTATTCGTACCCAGCTAAGAAACTGTCCCTGCCAGGTGAGAAAGTGCTCAGGGCCCCAAGACCAGCCGGCACGAATTGATACCTACGCCCGGTGACTCCATGGCGGTAGAAACGCACAGCCCTTTCCGGGGCGGGGACTCTGCATTAACACAGGAGCTCAGTTCTGCACGCGCAGTGAGCAAAAGAGCCACATCAAAGCTTGTGGGTACAGCCTGATGCCAACTCTGGAAAACACACGAACTGCAGAGACGGAGCAGAAATGCAACCCGCGCCAGGTGTGAAGACGGTTCTCCCTGGGCCATTTTTTCTTTTTCTGTATTTTTCCAGTTTTATATAACCAATCATGTATTAGAAAACAAACAAACAACAAAAGGATAATGTACACGATCGAACCGGACTTTCTCACAGGAGGCAGGAGAGTCAAGGAGGCCTGGGAGGCTCAGGGCCTCCCCAGCAGCCTCTCAGGACATCTTCAAAGCCACAGGACCATCACCAGTCATCAGCCTGTCTCAGGGACAAGAGGGCGAGAGCTCACATAAGGATCACTGGGGGTGTCCCTGGGACCCTTCCAGGCTCCACCTCCTGCTGAGCCCACAGCTGGTGGCAGGTGCCACGCCCTACAGCAACTCATCTCAGGGTCCCAGGCAAAGCCCTGGTGATTCTCACCCGCATGACCCCACAGAGCCTCTCTGCAGAGAAGAGGGGCCGACGCCTGCCCCCTCAACCCCCGAGTCCAGATAAACACAGAGGCGGCTGGGGAGAGATGGCCTTGCACGCTCTTTAATGTAGACTGTTTCTCCCCAGACAGAGAAATTCAGAGCCTCAACAGCGTACCGCAGACATAAGCCATTCTGTGCCCAAGCGATCTGCAGCATCCAACTCTGCACTCCCGTGGCCCTGCTGATCTGGCTCTACTTACAGGAAGGGCGACAGCTCTGGGTGATGCACTGAGAAAGCTGTCACCTGAGCAGTGACCTGGGGGACTCGGGAATGCCGACTCTTCCAGAACCAGGACTCCCTCAGCCATTTTATGGCCCCCCATCAAGCACTTCGCTCGTTTTATTCCTGCAACCCCGGTATGGTCGCCACTATCAGATCCCCCCTGCAGACGGGCAAGTGGAGACTCAGAGATCTTTCTGCAGCCAAAGTCTCCCAGACACCAGAGGTGTCTGACTTCACAGGCCACAAGGCATGTCTGCCGCTCACCCACGTGCACGGTCCCTGAGATGAGCAGCACGCGGCTCCCAGGGGAACCCGGTGTGCCGTTGGCACCACCAACAAACAGGTCTCCAGCTTGCTAAGGGATCTGCCACCCAACAGCTGTGTGGCCCTGACGAGTTCCCCAAGGAGTGCATCTGGCATCTGTTTCCTCCTTGCACAAGACAAGACAATATGCCTCCTGGAGGTCACAGCATGACGCCCGGAGTGAGGATGGGCCCACCCCAGCTGGCAGGGAAAGAGAGGAAGCTGCCGGAACAGACTTACCTGCTTTCACCAACCACAGGTCAGAGGCACCAGGAGAACATGTAAGAGACAGAGAGAGGGTAACTGTCAAATTATTTGTGTAAAATGTCCAAATATAAAAGTCACAAACAGCCCAATAGTCTCAAAAAGCAAAAATCAAAGCAGTAGTTTAAAATCTTCCTAAAATATTGAGGAAATGTCTGCAGCTTACTTTCCAATGCTTCTACTAAAATGCAAAAGCACGTATATAACTACATATATAAATACACATATAACAGCAAGCGAGAGCACCCACTCACAAGCACAAATACTGCAAAATGTTAACAAGCAGTGGGTCTCCGTGAAAGGTATGAGGTTCATTTTGCTACTATTTCAATGACTTTGTAAGTCTGACATTTTTCAAGACAAAAAGTTAGGGGGAAAATTCCTACAAAGAAAATGCCAGGCTCTCTACCAAGTTTTAAAAGAACCAGATTTTTGTAAGCAAACCCTCCTAGACAACAGTAAAGCAGTGGACACTCCCAATTCATTCTATGAGGCCAACATAATCTTCCAAGACCAAAGTTGGAAAAACGCAAAAGAGAGGAAAATTGCAGCCTGGTGGACAGATCTGCTAAGCTCACTGAGTTCAAATATAGATACAAAAATTCCTGAACAAAAATGTTATCAAATCCAACCCAACTCAGCATATGAAAGATATTACACTACGACCATACTTAGTAACCCCAGGTATGCAAGGATGGCTTAACAGGAGAAAATCCATCCATGTGACTCATCACAGCAACAGACTATAGATCTCAGTAAATGTGTAAGAAGCATCTGCTAAAAACACTATTCATAATAAAAACTCTCAGGCAACTAGGAATAGAGGTCCCTTAATTTGGCCGGGCGTGGTAGCTCACACCTGTAATCCCAGCACTTTGGGAGGCTGAGGGGGGCAGATCACTTGAGGTCACGAGTTCGAGACCAGCCTGGCCAACATGGCGAAACACCGTTTCTACTAAAAATACAAAAAAAAAAAAATCCATGCATGGTGGCACACACCTATAAAGAGGTTGAGGCACAAGAATCACTTGAACCCAGGAGGTGGAGGTTGCAGTGAATGGAGATCACGCCACTGCACTCCAGCCTGGGCAAAAGGATGAAACTATCTCAAAGAAAAAAAAATTCCTTAATTTGATAAAGTATCCCCAAAACCTAGAGCAGGCACGGTCCCCATGAGGAAGAGTCAGATGCATTCCCTTTAAGATCACGAATAGGACAAAGATGTCCGCTCTCTCTGAGGCAACTCTGCACGTACTGGGGATCTCAGCTGACACAATAAATCAAGGAGGAACTAGGGACCTAACTCCCAGTAGAGTCCCCTTGTCTGTCCTTCTTGTCTTTACCGAGCACCCCGGGAAGGCATTACTAGGTTGGGGGCTTCACACACCCTCTCAGACAGCCGGAGTCCCGGCACGGGGGAGGATTACTTTTCTTGCCCACTGCCCTTGCCCTGGGTCCAGAGCACCCCATAGTTAGGGCTATGGGTTTGCACTCAGTGAGATGTGAGTCCTGGAGGTTTGGGGTGGCCATGGCACCGGAACGGCAGGAGGAAGCAGTGGTCTCCTCAGTCTGGATCCTCACTGTGTCTCCTGGGCGCTAGACCTCCGGCAGGGAGGGCCCCAGGCACTGGGTGAGCTCAGCAGGTGCGTCAGCGGGAGCAGCTGGCTTCTAAATGGGCTCCGCAGGCCTGAGGCAGAGCCCCTGAGGGAGAGCCCCTGGCTGCAGGACCTGGCCCTCCACAGGCTGACGCTCTGCCTGGGCAAGGTGGAGCTCGAGGGAGCCAGGGCACAGGCTGTGTGCCTCACCTGGCATGGCCTCTCCAGCCTGGGGCTCTTGCTGCCTCATACCAGTCCTGCTGCTTTCCATCACTTGGCCCCTCCTCCTTCCACGGGGAGGCCCTGGACAGACCTCACGGAGGCAACTCAGCAAGGACGTGGCTAACAGCTGTGCAGGGGCGCTGGCCCTGTAGCCTGCCAGGCGTCTCTCCACAGGCTCTTCCCCAAGAGCCTACACACGCTTCCCCATAGGTGCTTCTTGCCCTCCGTTCCTTTCGTCCCACACCCTCCCTGCTCAGGGCTGGCAGGCTCCTCTGAATGCACACTCTTCTCGAGGCCCATCCAGGGGAGACCCTGACAAGCTCCTCCATCCCAGGGTGGCTGTGTGGGGAAGGGTCTGGCTCAGGAGAAGGCCCCTGGATGCCAGAAGAGGGGCCTGGATGGAGCCGGCAGGGGAGGCGGCACAGGGCAACAGTGAGGAGGCTGAATTGAGGCCAGGGGGCTGGGCCCAGAGAGTGCCAGGGATTCCCGGCCCTGCCCAGCTCTAGGCCCTCCCAGTGCCACAGAGACCACCTGGTGAAGGTCTGGGGAGAGGAGTGCCCAGAGGGTCCATGCCAGGCACTCTGGGCCTGCTCACACCATGTGTGCCCTTCCATGGTGCCATGCCTGGCAGGATCTTGGCCTGGAGCGGCTCTAACTGTGGCTGGGCTCCTGATGAGGTGAGGTGGGCCCTGTGCTCCAGGCCCAGCTATCTACCCAACACCTTCTCAGGGCAGGGATGCCCACACCAGTCTGGACACAGAACAACCCGGGGCGAGACACGTACTGGAGAAGACGGTGCTCCTCACCCCGGCGCTCTGGGACCTCACTTCCCAGGAGCTGGAAGGGACCAGCCAGGCATCCCGGCGAGGATGTGGAGGGTGGTGGAGGACCCACCCCTGCCTCGGGGAGGGCGGCCAGGCTCACAGGGAGGCCGTGGTATGCGGGCATGTGAGTGGGCAGGGACAGCCCAGCAAGGGCTGCGGGAAGCAGGGAGGTCAGTGCCCCGTGCAGAGGCTCCAGATCGAGGGCATTCAGTGTGCCGCAAGCCAGGGCAAATGGCACGGGGGGAAGGGGCGGAGGGGAGAGGGCATGACTCACAAGGCCACGGGGCGGGCAGAGGAACAAGGGCAGGAGGAAGGGCAGGCGGGGGTGCTATCAGCTGACGGGCTCCTGCTGGAAAAGGCGGCTCGACTCACAGGAGGGCACCTGAGACATGGGGTATGGGGGAGGGCAGCGGGCAGGGCGAGCCCAGGCAGGCCTCCCACTTGGCCGCCTCTCCAACTCTGTTGCCACTCCTATTGCAAAAGGGCCCTGGAGACCACTCTGGGTCTGGGGTCCTTGGCGTGGCTGCGGCCCCCACCTGCCCGCAGCCTGTGTGGTTCCACCCATGGGCCCGGTGGAGCTGGTCCCTGCTCTGCCCCTTCACACCGGGCCTCCCTCCCAAAGGCCAGGCCTTGCTCTGCACACAGGGGGACCCACACCAGCCAGGCACTCCAGTGCCCCACCCGCACACCCCGTCTCCCGCGGAAGCACACCGCTCCCCGGCACAGCCCGCTCTGAGCCACAGGCGTGTCACGCAATATGATGCTTTTCTCCTCTTTTGGCCTGGCTCCCCATTAACCTGCCCGAGGGCCAGCCTGGGCCTGGGCAGAGCAAGGCCTGGGGAATGGCTAAGGCTTTGAGGCCTGGAATGAAGCATGACCGTCACTCCCTAAAGCCATGAGTAAAGCTAGTCTGAGGGGTGGTGGTGGCTGCCGCCAGCTGCTGGGCACTTTCCTTTCGAACACTGGGGTGGCTCCAGATTTCCCAGAAACCACCGTTCCTCGTACCCCAGGAGGGGAGGGGACCTCGTACCCCAGGAGGGGAGGGAGAGCAGCAGCAGACCATGGTCCTGAGGGGCGCTTCCCGGGGCCACAGCCTTGGGGGATGTTTGGCAAAAGCAGGGGGCTGGTGTGGACGGCGTTCAGGCCTGGGGGGCTGGAGCCAGAGGAGGAGCATGCTCCCAGACTCTCTGGGGCCCACGGGGACAGAGGGCAAAGAGAGGCCAGCAGGTGGCCTCAGGTCACCAGTGCCTTCACCGGAAGGCGAGTTCCATTTATACCAAGCACCTGTTTTGGGGGTCCTCTGGGGGTTAAGGAAGGCGGGATTAACCACCAGCTCAAGAGGCCAGTGCTATGTGAGCAGGGTCTGTGGCCACATGGGATCCAGTTAGTCCTGTGGTCAGCCTCTAGGTGCGGAATGGCCATGCTGAGCCAGGCAGAAGCTGACCCAGGCCTGCTGAACATTCCAGGGCAATGGTTTGGCCACAGGGTGGGGGTCCATGCTGAGACCACACTGCAGGGACACAGACAGGGGCACCATGATGGCACTATTCCTGGGCCCCGAAGCCAGTAGGCTTGGCTCTGGGCCTCCTTGAGGGCAGGGCCCTGCCTTCTCCTCTCTGCACCTGCCCTGCTGGCCCACACCCTCTGCTGGAAACCTGCCCCAAACTCCATGAAGCACTATCCTTCACATCACAGCCTCTGGGCCCATGGAACCTGAGCCTGGACTTGACAGCCTCCTTCTGAGACCCCACGTGGCTCTTCTGTCATACACGCCCTGTGCCCAGCCCCGGCACTGTGCTCTGAATGGCCTGCACCAGGCCAGTAACAACTCACTGACTCTACTGCATCAGAGGGGGCACAGGGCGGGATGGGCTGTGATCAAGGGCCCAGGGCCCCGCCCATGAAGTGCCACAGCCCCGGAGGGAGGGGAGGGCTCTCCCTAGCTAGTGCTCGGGTCCCCCTTTGTTCTCAGCCTGTCTACTGGCCGGGTGGGACCTGCCACCTTTAAAAACTTGTTCACCCTGGGGCAGCCTGTCAGAGTCAAGAGGCGCTGGCTCTTAAGATAACACCAGGCGCTGGTCCTTAAGATAACACCAGTTTCAATAGGTTGGTGGCCCAGGCAGGACGTCACACTCCCACCTGGGAGCCGCGGCCCCTCTGAGGACAAGTGCTCTGGGGCCTGGAGAGCTGGGAGAAGAGGGCAGGCTACTGGGCAGTAGAGAGGCTCCACCATGAAGAAGGGAGGCCTGTGTGTGTGTGTATGGGGGTGTGTGTGTGTGGGTGTGTGTGTGTGGAGGGGGAGACAAAAGAGGTCTTCGGACCACCCCCCCATACTCAGGCTCTGGGATTCCCTGGCTGTGGCCCACAAGGTACAGGGGTGTCAGCCTGGGTGGGCAGGCCCTGGAGCCTCCTGCTTCCTGAAACTACTTCCTTCAGGCACATTTGTGCTGATTCTCCATGGACACAGCCCTGGCCTCCCCAGACAGGCTCCAAGAGGAACAAGGAAAATAAGAGGCAGTTGCCAGGATACCCAAGGCTCAGTGGGCCCCATGACCTACTCCAACCCACCTCCCCTTCTTGGCTTTCC